GACGTACCGCAACGTAGTTGACATAATTGCTGGCAACGTTTCGGAGATAAATTTCGTTGCCAAGAATATCCCTTGTTGTCATATCGAATTTTACTCCATTAGTAACGAGACGTCAAGTTTCTCGACCAGTCGCTACCAGTTTTGAGAAAATTTAACAATACATACTGGTATTTAAGAACGAGATTGACGAAATTAAAAGAGTTATAACGAGACTTCCGCGGCGCGGAAGTCGCGGTGGCGGAAGGCGAAGGATAAAGTTGTTCGAATATCAGCTTTGACACTGTTTTCAGCTCGAGTCATAACGTGCTTCGATACAATCTTTTAAAGTAACTGAGGAGAAGCGACAGCAAGAATACAAAAGTTCCTCTCGTACCGTACGCAAACTGAGTTTCCAATTTTTCGGCAACTTTTCTTTGATGTTTATCGACCCCGCGACAGGGAGCAAATATTTGTTGGCGATAATGTTACCAGCACACATACACACAGGTTCGTGAACGTCGCATAGTACTTTGCATATATTTGTGGACAGGGCATGCCGACGCATGTTGGCATGTACATGATTGCGATGCTTTGCGCGACGTACCCTCATGAGTGGAAACCTGCGCCGATACCCTTACCGTCATTTTCGATCCGACAATGTTTCGCGAAACAAAGAGGAAGGCTTTGGCCAATGTGAGGCGATGAAGTCTGAGGATTCGAACAGGTAGGCGAAGGGCAGGTGATGAGCATCCCGAAGGTTGTACGGGGGCGTTAACGCTCGTGTTTTCAAGGAAATACCAATTTCTACGGAGAATAACATCGCAGCCGCTATCTGGGCCTCCACCCGGAGGACCAAATTACACATCCTTTGTTCGTCGAAGATAAATAACTCGTTTGTTAACCGGCGAGATTAAGCTTGCCGCAGACTGGTGGTGATCAACTGAAGAAGAAGCGACATGCGGCGGCACTCTCAAACTACGACCCTAATAAACGCGGCGTTACGTAATAAACGCCATCCTCTCCGCATTCCATCACAGCTGCATTCCTCTAGGACGTGGCGCAACGTAAAATGGGATTGTCATGTTGGTGGCTGTGTTGTGTCGGGCTTGGGTATTTTGAACGTTCGACAGCTAGTGTGACGTGATCTCTGCGTCGATCCATCTCGCCCCGGCGTGCGAAAGTGCATTGTTTTATAATAACGTTGTTTTCCACGGTGCGATGAAGCGGTGATTTTTATCGGCCAGTATCCACGTCATTATTCGCCCATTAAGATTGTTTCGACACACTGAAATTTATCGGATCGAAGTACAATTTGCATGATCGCGACTACTGGCAACTGGACCAGCGTGATCGACATTCTATGATGAGCCGCGCAGCCAAATGCAAAATACAGTTTTAATCTCCGCAACGGTTTATCATTTACCAACGGCGGGACCCCAGTGCATCAAACGCTAATTTATGCTATCGTGCACGTCCGAATTCCGCGGCTACAATCGACAACGAAATAAGCTGCAATACAAACATAATACATATACACGCGTTGCGTGTACGTGTGTGTACGAAGAACCCATTTGGTTGGCTCCCCAAACCTTCCACCTCGGCGTGTTGGCGCTATCTTTCCTCCGAATTGCGAATCTATGCAAATCATACCAGTGGAGTCTTCTATAAAGAGGCGCTTTTATTTAAAAGGGAGGGGGAGGAAGCGGGAGATTAATGCATAGAATCGGCAAACGAGTCGGCTGTATTTATGAAACTCTTTCGAGTTTCGCGATACACCTATCGCAACCGGAATTGCAACTGGACACGCAAAAATGCTAACAACAATAGCGATAATAATTAAATAAATGCTAAATCGCTCGTTGTTTTGTTTAACAACATTAAGTTTAATTAAAACGACTATAGTTACGAGCACATAACAAGGATGTAAAATTACAGTATATTTTTTCTCATAGATATATGATTAACGTTTCGACTTCACGAAGTCTTTTTCGAAATCAATATAACGCATAAGGAATAATTTGATAATATCGCCATTGATAAATAATCTTAAAGAGACTGAACTATGTTTTTTCTTCATTTTCGCTCTGCTTTATATCGATGGTCTTAATCCGATGTCTTCAAGTAATAAAATTTCGAAAATTTCGTCGTCAAAAAGTAAAACATTGTTGATAAAGGATTCGTCATTAATTGGTGAGAATCTGTTATACGTAAAATTCTTGCAAATAACGGAGCACATATTAGTCTAGTTCTAGTTTCTTGTCGTTGACATCTCCCAGGGAGATGAGTAATGACTAGCGGTCATATCGAAATATCGCTGTTTCACCGCATTGAAAAAACAATTTACAGATTTTAAATAAATATTTACTCCAATAGTACCAACGAAATATTTATTTATAGTAAATAAATATTTATTCAAAATGAGATAGTTATGTTTAAATCGAATAAATATGTTTACATTTAGTAAATATTTCGTTAGTACTGTTGGAGTAAATATTTATTTAAAATCTGCAAATTTTTTTTTTGTGTACATACTTTAAAGTTGACGCTTAATATTCTGCGAGATATCAAAATAAGCTCTTCATAAAAAAAAAGAAAACATCATTCCTTTCTGAAAGCAGAAACTCGGGAAGAAAACCAAAGGAAATGACGGATTGGGCGATATGGCATGATTGAAGGAGTAAAATTTCTTATCGAGAAATGTTGCAATCTCTTCGCATCGTCGATCAAACGGCGGATTTCTGAGAGCTGCGAATTTGCAAACGACAGAACGCGAGCGCGAGGCTTATCAGAACGTCGGCTGTGTTATTACGGGCGCGATCCATTAAAAAATCCGACGCGCCCTCCAATCGGGGTGCAGGCACGCCGTATGCGCTCACAGCAGGTTCGCGCCGCTTCTCCGTGATGGTATACAGGCGGCCGACCGAAAATGCTTGGTGGTCCCTCGAGTGGAGCCCGCGGGAGAAAGAACCACCTGCCGTAGGGATCGGTGGGGGCAAACTGCCGTCGTGCACCTCTACCCTCGTCCCCGCCGCGCCTACCCCCTTCTCGCTCCTGCGCCCTCGACCCCGCATGAGATGGGGGCCCAACGTTCACCGACACCCTTCTGTCCCTTCCGTCCCTCCGCATGAATCTCCCCACCATTTAACCGTCGCCGTCGACAGGGTTGGCTCGTGCTACGTTCATGCCCAGAGCACGAAACGGATCTTCCTCCGAATAGATTTTACGTGCAAGACAAGAGAAGGAGTTTATTTAAGATTTATATTAAACTTTCTGTTAGATCATAAGTTTAATATTTACATACTTTTAAAGTATTACCGAGCGATTGTAAAACTGCATAGCAATGTACTGGAACAATTGAAAAAATACGTTTATGATTAAATAAAGTAAAATAGTTAAAATTACTTAAAAATTACGTGGTCCTGAATTTTAGCAATTTTTTTCTTAGGGAATATCTCGTGTGTAATATAAAATCGTAATATCAGATTATATCAGTCAATAGGAACGTTAATGCTATTACAATTTAATTATAATACCATTAATGTGATTCACAGTTATAATAGCATTAACTGATATAATTGTAATTATATTGATTATAAGGATATAAAAAGGGGATAATAGAAAATGAGAAAGACAAAGGGGAATAGTAAATATCGACAAAATGGAGGAGAAATTTTTGAAGAGTTCATACATACAATAAATACGGGCGGAAAGTAAGTCTATTGTACTCTTATGTCGCCTAACTCTATATGCGTATATAAGCAAAATTGGCCGGAGCTGTCTATTAAGTAATTAAAATAATTAAACTCATTCAGTCCCAACGCAACCATATGGGTGCCGATTAGCACACTTAAATTAGAGAACTATGTAAATTTCAACAAAATTGTCTTCTGCCAAAATTAGCATGTCCGAATGTAGACGTCGTTATTGTTAGCGTGTTACGTATTTCATTCATCGTGCAATTTTCCACGGTGCTTATACCAAACGATGGTTTTAATCATCAGTCGTATCTTTATTAAAACTTTGCCATATTAAATCTCGCCTCGATTGCAGCAATTTAGTTCTTTTTTTATATATATTAATATTTTATATATAATAGAGATTAATATCAGAGATTGCTTGTATATTGATATATGCGTTGATTGTGGAGATATAGTAGAATTATAATAGCATTAATATCCTATCAATAGATAGGATAAATTTATATTGCACGAAGTGCGGCGTTCTGCAAAAGGAAATTACTAAATTCAATCAATCAATTGTTATACTTTAACGTCTGATCGTAAGCTTATCTCATTTCTCTCTGTAACATGCTGTGTAATTTTACAATCTCTCGATATTTCTTGGGAAACATGTCTCGTGTAAAACGTAACCGGTCGTAGGAGACTTACAAAAATTTACCGCCTCCATTAAATTTCAGTGTCGTTTTAAGAAGACAACACGTAATGGCCAGCTCTCTCTCTCTCTCTCTCTCTCTCTCTCTCTCTCTCTCTCTCCCCCCCCCTCCCTCTCTCTATCTTTCTCTTCAGATAACCAGAATGCGTTATTACCAGCAAGTTGAAGTAGTTCCTAGTGTCATCCAAGTACTTCACTCGCCAGTGCATATCTCAAGAAGGTCCATATATGTGCAGCCAGAGACCGCATTTCCTCAAGACCCTTATTTAAAACCACTTTGTGTCATAACAAGATTAAAACGCTAGAAAATACTGAATAACAACGGAGCCTTGGTAAGAAATCGTAGGTGATAGAAACGTCGTTCTTGCTCGTTCGCGTCCGCTTTTAATTTCCGCTTTCTTCATCAAAACGCTCGGGAGAATCACGATTTCGTCGAAATTTCTCCCCCCGTCAAATTGAGAACCCTACGGCAAACGAGTTCTCTCTCATGTACGAGCCTCGAGTTAGCGCCTCTTGCACCTGCAGACGTGCATCCGGCTCTGGTCGGTTACCACCACCGCCTCCACCGTCGCCGTTGCACTCTGCCGCCACGGACGGTTGTAGTACGACGCGGCACACTATGCGTGGCGGCTCGAGTGATCTGTGGAGGGGGTGAAGATCTGGAGGTGGGGGTAGCAAAAGGCGCGATGAGATCACAGGCTCAGTTGCCGTGCGACTGTCGAGAGACGCACTGGCGGTGTCGACGGACGCGCGATAGTTTCCCCAGTTTAAGTCTTTGCGCTCAGCTGGTTCACGGGGTATTCCCTCGTTCTCCATCAAAGGAAGCTCGTGAAGGGAAACTCGATTGGTTCGCTTCGCCGCCGGACAGTGACCCGCAGTGAAAAGGAGAAAAAAAAACCGAGAGAAAATAGTTTCGCTCGACATAACCATCTTCGGGGGTAAGGGACGAAGAGGCGCGGAGGAGGAGCAGAGGAGAAGAGGAAGAGGTGGAGAATCCCGATTTAAATCTCCGACCGCAGAAAGCCATTAATACCGTCAGGTGCACGCGGTCCACGCATACGTACACGGCGTATCACATAACACACGGACACACATCCACCGCCCTATGCGGGAATGGAGTCTCACCCCCGTGCGCGCAGTTGAGCGATGATCGCGCGCGAATCGGTCGCGAGGAGCGCGTCGCCGTGTCTTTCGCCTGATGCATCGTCGGACCGCAACACTGGCGTAAGACCGCCGATCGTGTCACCGGCGTGTACCCGCTCGTGGACGACGAACAGTTCCGGACGGTAGCGACCGACGATCCGGGAGAAGAAAGGATTAAGTGGAGAACTCGACGTGGGTGAAGAAATGATGCGGGGTGCGTGCCCGTGCTCGCCTCCGCCGTCGTCAGTGCGACATTTACGCGGTGAATGTCATTCGAATGTGCGTGCGTGTAGTGTCACGAGCCTGTGAGAAGGGGGTGAAGGTGGAGAAAACCGCGTGATAAAAATATATATATATATGTACGTGATACATTATTGACAGGTGCGTTTGTTGCTTGATGGTCGCTGCTGCTTCAATTTTTGATCAGCGTGTGTTTTTCGGAGTATAATAACGGAAGGATCTCGGCGGACCTGCAAACGAACGAAGAGTGCAGGAGTGAAGGAGAAACACAGTGTGAAATTACTATTCGACGCGTGTGAAGTTACTCCGTGAAAACTCCGCCTCTCCAGGTAGCCATGGATAGAAAGTCGAGGATCATCAGCCACCGCACGCAGATCGTGATAATGAACCTATTGCTGCTCTGCACCGGTGAGTATCCGCTGCGAACGAGGTCTCCTTAACGAACGCAGGACACTATGATTAAAAACTAATTCCGAAACGCGGGATGGCAGTTAATTAATGAACGATTCAGGCATCACGGGCTCGGTTCGGGTGAGTTGATCGGTCGGTCGGTCGGTCGGCGCCGCTTCCCATATAAATATCGGATAAATTGATGATTCTGCGGCGCAACACGTTTGCGGGACGAGAGGTGGTGTCGAGGAATGAAACCGGATTCGTATAGATTGCGTGGGATGCGGATTGTACATACCGCGGTGTGCATCGAGACAACGTTGGGTTCTTTGTTGCATGGAGATGCTGGATTCTTCGACGTTTTGTACCTCTCGGGTTACTTAAAACGAAATATTATCATTTTTACATAAGTAGATCACATGATTTCTTCGACTTTCATTCGTTGTTCGATATGTAGATATTGTACATGAAAAGAATGCTGGAGTATTTAAAAATTTAGCTTTATATATAGATCTGAAAATAATTTTGTTGGACCATCAAAATAATTACATAGAAAACTCAAGCATGATGGATATTGCAAAAAGTTTTAACATTCTAGTAACCAGCTTGAACGTTCTACATAATTATTTTGATGAATCCAACAAAATTGTTTTCGAAATGGTTATATCCAGCTACGTGTTTAAATATTTCAGCAAAATCGTTCTTTCCGTGCGGGAATGTAATGAAGACTGTATTAAAGAGCTCGAGTTAGGATATATCGATAGCTAGAGGAGGGGATGATTAAGACCCAAACTTATGCTGATGTCATCACTCTTTCTGCGAAAATTATACAGAGGATAGCAAGAATTTCCTCGTCGCTGTTGAAACAAAAGTAGCACCAACTTTGGTCTTGCAATCGATGGAGACAAAAGCGAACGGTGTGGATCGCGCGGCAGGAAATAGCCTGGATATAAAAATTATGAGCGAAGGGTTGCGAAGTAGCACGGAGTATATCTCGTAATCGTTAACCAAGTAGACTGTATGGAAGAAATCTGACGGTGAACTATAACCACATCGGCTATGGATCGATTAGGAACTGTACAGCGCGACAGAAATATCGTCAAGAACACAAAAGGATGCTTTTTGCGAAGTTTTCGCTACTTCTTGCCTTTCTGGGCGTCGCTGGGATATAGACGGTTAGATTGTAAGATCGACGTAAAATCGACGCTCCGGAAACGTGGTGCCGGAGGCGACTTTCAGAGATAATCTAGATCGCCTGCCGCACAAGCAACCTCATTCCAGCCGAATTGACGATCAAAGAGAGATTCTCGTCGACTGCTCTCGACGAATTCTCAAATATCTCGGCCGTGTTATAAAAGTAGATGGAAAAATTCGTAATCCAAGGACGAGTCGCGGGTATGCAGTCACGCTGCTGGTCTCCAGCAGTAAGTAGTTTCATGCAAGACTGCTTCGGAAACGCGCTATCAAGCAGCATCAGTCTGACCGCGACTAGTCTTTGTCAAGAATGATGCGACTGAGAATAATAATAATTTTTCTGCAACAACGTAAAGTAGGAGCTTCAATCGATATACAACCTTGGCAAAAAATATTAGGCACTTTATTAATTATTATTTAAGGTTTTTAGCTCAAAAATTAATTTTCAGATTTCGCTGTGAATTATCCTTTATTTCAAGAACCTTTTAAAGCTATGTATAATGTTGGTAACTAACAGAAAACAATACAGGTAGAAGAAAATTCCATATAAATTTAAAAAATATACAATGGTTGCCCAATAAGTTTCTGTGGTCAACATATAATTTTACAATTATATTTATCAATTTGTTTTTCTGTTTATATTATAAGTTAATACATTTCTTAGTCAACTTAACAATACGACATTGTAAATATTAGATGTACTTTGTAGTTCTTTGTAAAGATTCTTTATCTAATTTAATTGTAAGTAATATCTACAATAAAATTACTCACTGACCGGAAACTTTTGGCAGCCACTACAGATATCTAATACTTTTGGCCAAAGCTTGTAGTACACCTATTATCCATCATGAAAACGCAAAGAAAATTCTTATGACGTCAAAAGATATCTTCTTGCATTGTGTAAGATGCCTTTTACAATACTTATCGACTTTCGTTAGTTTTATTTCCTTTCGAGTTCATCTTACTTTCGTAAAAATGAAAAGCTGTACATTTTTGACAGGATTAAATGTCCTTGGTTGATAAATCTTCGAAACATTACCTTTAACCCACGTCTTCATCGATATTATATAGCGATGCAAAATCGCGTGTTAATATTGCATCAACGTTCTTAACTCTCGGTCATGTATCTTCCCTCCTTTGGGACCTCTAAGCTGCTTTCTCTCACAGTCAGTTTCACTTTATTCATACTCGAGTATATAAAAGCCGCAATATGTATAAGCTACTTTCTACAAGATTAAATTCCAATTAAACAGATTCCAATTAATTGTCGCCGATTCTAATTATCGAGAAATTATAAATTTATCGGAAAAAAAGGGTTCATTATGTAGAATCTTGCTTTAAGACTTACATTTAAACATCCCACGAGGAATAGATGGTAGAAAGTTTACTTGCGAATACAACGCTCATGGGTGCCAGAAATGCAGATGCATCGCGCTGCTATGCACCGAGATGTAAGATGGTGTTACGCAGATCGGCCCTTTGTGGCATGTCAAACGCTCGGCAACCTAAACAGCCGCCGGTTTCCGCTTTAATCGCTCGGCTCTCTCGTCTCATCGTGCGCGGTGGCTCGCAACGAGAGCTCGCAACGTTGTAACGAGAAACGAGGGACGTGGGGAGAAGAGGGAGTGAGATATAATTTGCATACGCCCAAGGTTACGCGGTCGTGCCGCGATAAACTTTTTCTCGCGTTAAATCGCAACGTAGCGTAACTGCCGCGAGCTAAGATTCGCGTTCGCGTTAAAGTGTCTGATGGTGTTATACGCAAACAATCGAGCTGCAGTCCCTTTTACCACGACTAGGCACAATTCGCGTGGGCACACACACACACACACACATACACGGGGCTTAATTGGGAGGAGGGGAGAGGCGTAATTAGGTACGGGGGTGTTGCATCGGAGCGCAGTGCAGTTGCGGCCGATTACGTTGTTGGGCGCGTTGTAGTCGACAACAAAGATCGAAGGTGGCGGCACTCCACCGTTCGACTCCGAGAGGGCTCGCAGGGCTCTCGGAGGGTCGCATCGACGCGCTAACGACGCCGCGCGTTTTCTAATCGTCGTTTCCCCGCGCGAACGGCCGCTTCCCACGGAAGATCCGCGATTCGAGCTCAAACGTTATCGCACCGCGGAATTATCGGAAAGTAATTAACCGCTAATCGACCGGGATAGTATAGCTGGGATTGGAAAACGCGATGCTCCTTCTTAACACCGGTGTGATACGTACAACTGAAAGGGAAGGGAGAACGCGTTGTGTTTCGAGTACGTTTACCTGCGTTTCGTCTGTAATACGGTAGATTTAATCGCGTCGGTCACGCAGGCTAGTTTGCACAAGTGTCTTCAGAATAACGTCCAAGATGCTTTAAAAGTAACGCCGAAGAAGAGGAGGAAGAGAGAAGGGTTTATCAGATAAATGTCTTGCCGAGTATTACGTTAGTTAATTAAGGGGGAAGGGGGGGGGGAAAGGCTGTAGGAAAGAGATATTTCGTTGAAGACAGTCAGTTACAGGAAGATCGGCGGACGTTTACGGGCGACAAGCGTTTATTTAAAGCAACGTGGGTACCGAGAGTAATCGATCGACGTCTTTGCGGCGGACCTAATAAATTTCCCACTTTTATTGCCGCTGCTTTTCCCCGCCGAGCTTCTAAGCTGTCTGTCCACTCGATAAATTTCGACGACGCTTTCTGCAGCGTACATTTCTTTAACGCGTCCGAGCTCTTGCAACGCAGGTGCGAGAACGTCGTTACCTCTCCGTTGTTGCATTACGAAAAGAAGATTACGAGCGTCTCGGTGTTAATGGCACACAGGAGGGTGCCGGCGTACCTCTTCTCCTCGCGAAACATAAGCGATTAATGGCTTTTGTAAACGACCTCTTATTTCTTGTCGTCGCAGAAGTAACCCTGAGTTATATTCGCTGCGAACGGCGGGACGGCCCGAGATCAAGAATTATTTACTCCGTATGCAGCGATTATGCGAAGAATTGTCTCTTTATTGCGGTATATCTATCTTTATTTCCAATTCCCTGGAGTGGAAAGGAGCCTGCAAGTAGATTTCATTTTAATGGAATTTTAATTCGAAGATAATCTCGGCAGAAAGATTTTTAACCGCCGAATATAAAAATGAAAATTACAATGAATGACGTTTCTTTTTTTTTTTCGTTCTGATGTAACGATTTAATTAATGGTTTTTCGGTTCCTCTAATTCGCACGTGGACTCGTAATACGAGAAGACAAACGGTTCCACTCAATCAGGATTAGGCGCGATAACCGGCGATCTGATTAAGGATTACAGTGAAGGTGCCGGAGGCTATCGTTATGCAGGTTTCGATATTATTCATGGATTTTCGGTATTCTGTCCGCTTTCGCATTATTGCATTTTTACCGCTCTATATATATCTACACGGAACAAATGGTTTTGCTGAATTAAAAAATTTAACTATAGATCTCTTTTCTCTCTCTCTCTCTCTCTCTCTCTCTCTTTCTCTTTCTCTCTCTCTCTCGGAAATAATTTTGCTAGACTATCAAAATAAATTATATTGTGCGCTTAAACTGGTTGCTAGAATGTCAAAACTTTTTGCAACATTGCTCATCATTCTTACGTAATTATTTTGCTTAATTAAAATAAATTAAAAATTCAATTAAGTAAAGCTCTTGGAATAATATTTAAAAATTAAAAAGATGTCTATATAAGAGCTAACGCGTCATATTCGTGCGTAAATTATTGTGTATAATTACAATAATTGATGTCTGCATATTAATCAAGGCGCAGTCGCAAACGTTTCAACCTGGTTTTGGAATCCCTTTAGTGTACATTCGTAATAAAGTGAGACGG